CCATAACCCCTCTTTGTTTTCTGCCAACCGCCCCCACCATTTACCCATCAAAGCCAAATTAAACTTCCGTAAATCCCTCACTCCCAACCCTCCTTCCTCTTTTTTTTTACATATCTTCTCCCATTTAACCCAATTGACCTTCCTCTCATCTCCTCCCCCACCCCATAAAAAACTTTTACGAATTTTATCGATAGAAAGAAGAATACCTTTCGGGATTAAGAAGACGGACATCAGGAACACGGGAAGACTAGACAACACTGAGTTGATGAGCGTGATGCGACCCCCGAGAGATAGATGTCTACCCTTCCAGCTAGCAAGTTTCTTTTTGAAAGATTGAATCATTGGATACCACATTTCTGTTTTTCTGTGATTCCCGCCAATTGGAATTCCTAAATATTTAAGAGGGAATTCTCCTTGTGAGCAACAGAGTCTATAAGCCATTCTTGCTGTCCAATTCTCTTCCACTCCCATCCCTATTAGCTGACTTTTCGCAAAATTAATTTTTAGCCCAGAAGCCAACTCAAAAGTCCTCATAATCCCTTTGACCACCTTTATATTTTCATCGGAAGCCTCCCCAAAGAAGATCGTATCGTCCGCAAACTGTAAATGTGTAATCGTTGTACCTCCACTTCCCACCATAACGCCCTTGTACAAATTCTTCTCAACTGCTGCGGAAACTAATCCATTCAATCCTTCTGCCACTATCAAAAATAAGAAGGGAGATAGCGGGTCTCCTTGACGAATGCCTTTGCTTACCGGGAATTCTTTTGTTGGACTTCCGTTAATAAGGACAGACACCGAGCTTGATCTTAAACATTCTTGAATCCATTTCCTCCATTTTTCCGAGAATCCCATCCTCATCATCATGTAATCTATAAAGCTCCAGCTCACTCTATCATATGCTTTTTCGAAATCAACCTTAAACAGAAAACTGTTTTTCCTCTTCCTCTTGACCTCATCGATGACTTCATTTGCAATCACCACCCCATCAATTAGTTGTCTGCCTTCAATGAATGCCATCTGTTGTTCCCCAATGACCTTTGGCAGCACCTTCCGCAATCGATTTGCTAGCAATTTTGCGATGATTTTATACATGATCCCAATGAGAGAAATGGGTCTATAGTCCTCAATTCCTTGAGGATTGTCTTTCTTTGGGATTAAAACAATGAAGGATGCATTGGATCCCCTTGCAAGTCTGCCCTGATCCCAAAATTCCTGCACAAAGTCAATCACCTCCACCTTTATGTCTTCCCACATCTTCTTTACAAATCCAAAGTTGAACCCATCCGGGCCCGGGGATTTGGACGAGCAGCAGTCCCAAATTGCTTCTTTAATCTCCTTTTCCTCAAAAACAGCCCCGAGCATCTCATTTTCTGCTTGTGAAATTTGATTAACCCTAATTCCATCAAGCCTGGGTCTTTGCCATGCCTCTTCTGAAAATAAGTCTTTAAAATACTTAGCCACTTCTTCCTTTATCTCCTTCACACCCGTGTATAGTTCCCCGTTGATCCGAATACAATTAATTTCATTTCTTCTCCATCTACCCTTGACACATGTATGAAAAAATCTTGTATTCGCGTCCCCTTCCTTAAACCACATCCTCTTTGCCTTTTGCTGCCACATCCTCTCTTTAATTCTCAGATTTTTCCATAGGTCTATAAAGCTTCCCCTCCTCCTTTCAACATCTTCTGCAGTCAGTTGGCTACTCTCTCCTTTCTCATCAATTTCAGCTATCACTGATTCTGCTTTTTTTACTTTATCATCCACTTCTTCTGTTAAGTTCCGGCTCCACTCTTTTAATGCTTTCTTTGTTCTTTTCAATTTCTCCTTAAGAATGAAGCCTTTTTTCCCCTGGATCTCATTGAATTTCCACACACTTCTGATTAACTCCCTACATCCAGGTTTTTCAAACCATGCATCAAAGAACTTAAACGGTTTTGGCCCCCAATCTATCTTCTCATTCTTAAGTAAAATGGGGCAATGATCCGAAACTGATCTTCTCAACCCCCACTGTTTAACATCACCCCATCTGGAAACCCAATCTTCTGATAGCAAAAATCTGTCAATTCTACTCATATACTGGCCATTAGAGTTGTACCAAGTATATTTCCTCCCAAGCAAAGGCAAATCAATCAAAGCAGCATTATTGATAAAATTGTCAAATTCTCGCATCTCTGCATTGATCCCCGACCCCCCAGCTCGTTCCTCTATTCCCCTCACTGCGTTGAAGTCCCCCACTAGACACCAATTCCCTCTTCTACTATTCATCAGATTCTGTAAATCATCCCATAAAAATCTTTTGCCCATCAACTGGCACGGGGAATAAATGTTAAGCAAATACACAGGAATCCTCTCATCACCCCATAACCCAGATATCCCAATGAAGTTATTCCCCTCAATTACCTCCAATTTCTTAAGCACTTTATCATTCCAGATACATAATAGGCCACCCGATCTACCCACAGATGGCTTAGCTACCCAATCAAAGTCCTCTGTCCCCCATAATGTTCTACAAATCTTCCTATCCACCATCACTAATTTAGTCTCTTGAATTGCAATGAAATCTACATTCTCCTTCATCACCATTTCTCTAATCTGCCTTTTCTTACCAACCCCTCCCATCCCTCTAATGTTATAAGACAGTAGAATCATTGAGGTTCTGTGTTTACCTTCTTGGCTCCCCTGGTGCTCGGATTGGCCTTGTCTCCTTTCCTGCGGCTGTCTCTCTTTTCCATTTCCTCGATTTTCTGCAGGACATCGGCGTCATTTTCTAAACTCGCACCAAGCTGCTTCGCAAGATCCCAGATCTCCATTGCTAATTGACTTTGCAGCTGTTTCTTAATAGATCTGTTACAGTTCAATATGCCACTGTCACCGACCGAACCCCCTGCAACTTTCCCGTCCGGATTGGGTAAAAAATCTGGTGTTTTCCTTTCTGCTGTCCTCTGCATGCTCTGTTTTTTTCCGTCAATCTTCCTTGTTGAACCCGTCCCGACCTCCATTGTGCACCGATAGACCGAGCTGCATGATCTAGCCTTCCTTCTTTTACCCTTTGCTGTTTTCTTTATCTGCTTGCTGATCCATTCCTCCACCCGTCCTTGATCCTTTTCATATCCTCTCCAGAACACGTCCTCCCCTTCTTCTTCACTTTCAACCTCTGACAAATCCCTGTTTCCAGATCTATCCTTATTGTATGATGGGTCTGCCCATTTATTCTCTCCTCTATCTTGGGCCAAGCCCATGTTAGTGGATTCTTGATTCTCAACTCTTGCTTCTTGAGCATTGGGCTCCTTAAACGAGTTGCTACTGGGTTTGTTCTTGAAGCCCATTTGCGTCCCATCCACTATACCGGCTTGAGATACCGGTTCTCTGACTTCCTTCTCTTTTTCCGGACAAATGTCCGTTGCTCTGTCTTTGTTCCCATTCAAATTTTGAATTTGAATCTGAAATTGAGACGAGCTGCCAGCTGGTGTTTCCCCTACCTTCTCCTCCTCCTTTGAAAGCTGTTCCTTCCTTTTTCCTTCCCACGCCACGTCATCATCTTCTTCGTGGGAATATTTTTCATGACAGAAAGCCTCACCCTCTGCATTGACGCACTCCGGCGTCTCCATTTCACTGCCAATCGACCAAGACTCATCTTCCTCCTCTTCACTATGGAAAGAAGGCAAGAAATCTTGTTTAAGGGAGAAGAAGCAATTAGTGGTTTCTTCCTCTGAAAATTTCAGATTGTACATGCTTCCATTGATTTTAACTTGCCGTGAAACTTTGATTGTGTCCATGATCTGAGTGGATATCAGGAATCTTGCTATATCGAACCGTCTTCTTTTACTAGTGCTATCATCCAAGCAGATGAATTTACCCCATGAACACCCCATCTTTTCGAAGAACTCAGTGTTCCAGGCATTCAATGGAACCCCTTGGCCTCTAATCCATACGAACCTCTCCTTAGCCACCATTTCGGGTGTCCAAGGTCGCACCACTTCGAACCATTGGCCTAACCAATCCGCAGCTAATTCCACCAAGTCCTTCAATTCTTCCTTATCCTCACAATCTAGCAACACCATTCTACCACCCATGGCACGAATCCGGCATGAAAAATACCCTTCCATATAGAATTTTTCCTGCAAGTTACGAACCATCTCCACAGAATGTGCTAATCCCACAAAGCTTCCCTCCAGCCATGAGTAATCTTCCGGTTTGGGATTATATTCAAAGCCCGCCCAGCTTTTTCCCATACCTTTTTGTTGCCAAATTGTCCTAGCTTCCTCATTTCGCTGCTTGGAGCATTCTCTGTTTATGTTCCTCTCCGATCTCTTTTCTTCCTGTTTTCTGCCCTGCGTTCTTCCTTCCTCTTTTTGATTTTTCATCGGTTGGCCCTTTACCACCTCGGCATAACTTCTATTTTGGATTGTTGGTTCTGCAATTTTACGGAACCTCCCCCCCACATTTTCCATCTTTCCTTCCTCATATCTTGGAAGATTCACCCATAACTTTCTACCTCCTATCCAAATCTGATCCAGATTCCTTTCCAACTCCCTCATGTCCTTTACATCCAAGAATCTCACAAACCCAAACCTTTTTCCATTCCTGTTTTTCCTGTTAGGACTATAAATGGCATATACTCTGCCATAATTCTTAAACGTTCTCCACATCTCCTCATAACTCCAGTCCTCTGGAAAATTCGTGAAGAAATATGCAGTGGCCTGCTTATACAACCCCCAATCGTACGAGTCCCCTTTTTGTCTGCTTCGATACTGAAACTGATCTTCCCCCTTCTGCCTCTGACCCGTTTGCCTCTGACCTGTTTGCTGAAACCTCCACTGCTGGCTTCTTCCGCGAGATCCTGCATGCTCACGACCCAGTGTTGTCCGTCCTGCTCGCGACCTGTGTCCATCTCTTCCCCCTCTCACTCTCTCTCTACCTCTCTCTCTCATGATTTTTAAAATCCAATTGCGTTATTCTTTGTCTAATATTGTACTAAAATAAAATTGTATTAATGTATGTATTAATTAATTAATACAATTTTATATTTATTTTTAATTAATTACCATTTCCTCTATTTTAGAATAATAGATGTTTTTTTATTTAAAATTTATTTCAAAATAATAAATATTTTTTTATATTTTAAAGAATACAAAATGGAGTTTTTTTTTTTTTTACTTTAACTTTATCATTATATTTTGACTTCAATTATTCATCTTATCATAAAAAAATGTTTCTTTATTTTTATTTTTTAAAAATAATATAAGTAAAAATATAAATTGTCTCCAAATTTTTAATCTAAGTATAAAATCAAAAGAGTGTGTTATAATGGGATGCACGGAGTCCTTAAATAAGTCTTTTTAAGTACTTAATATATGTTATAATTATTTTTTAAAATAAAGTAAAATAAAAATAAGTGTATTAAATGATATCTTAAAAAGAAAAAAAATAACTAAATTTGAATGCCCTCAATTAGAAATTAAGTTTATTCCTTTTGTACCAAAATAATTGTCTTTTTTTATTTTTTTACCAAATTAAAGATTTAATGACAATTTGTGCATTTATCTATATTACTTATAAAAAAGAAATACAAGACAAATAAACTTTTTCTAATGACATGATTAATTAAAATAAATAAATAATAATGACGTTAGAGTAGAAAAAAAATATTTTTTTACCTTAAAAAATAAAAAAATAATAATTAATTTGAAATAAATTTAAAATATAGAATGACAATTATTTTGAGATAAAGAAATTATTAAAGTTGAACAAAATGAGTAGAAAAAAGAAAATATGATCAATACTTAATTTAATCTACCTTAATTTAAAATGAAACTGTGGTATTTTATTTCTAATGCTAGTAACTTAAGCAATTTAATTAGTATGAATTTTCTTTCAATAAAAATAAAAAATTTTGAGTTTAAATCATATAACATATGTATTTCTGAACGTATCAAAAACAATTAGTTCAGTTGTTAACAGGTTAAACACCCAATTTGGTCCCTCAATTTTCATTTTTGCACTTAATTCGTCCTTTACTTTCAAAAAGGACCCAAATCGTCCTTAACGTTTCTTTGCCCGTAACTAAATTGGTCCTTCCTTGACAGAAGTGCCCACTTGTCACGTTAAGTCTTCACAATTTAATTCTCTTAATTTTCAAATGCTTATGTGGAAAAAATATAATACTTAAGTAGCTACCCTTCGACGAGATAGACTCCTCGTCGTTCACCGCCGTTCACACCCCATATTCATTGAAAGCACCCTTTGCAACCCACAAAAATGGAAAGCCTATTGCCTTCAAAAATTGAGAATCAGGGGATGTGGATTCCCTTTGCGGCCGCACAGATGTTCTTCCATTCTCATGCATCACCGCCAAAAACCCGCTGAAGAATACCAGAGCAAGAACAGAGCAATCGAAGAGAGAACTTGAGGAGGTTCTGTGTGGGAACTCAAACCGGTGCTCTTCTGTATTATTAATTTGGAGATGTTCGCTTGCATTTGATTGATTTCTTGTAATTGTGTGAGATTTGTGTTATTTTTTATGTTTTGTTTGAGACCTTGTCTGCTTCTGAACTTGAGATTTTAAGATATAATCATATAAAGATGCTTGTTTGGTCTAGAGTCCTGTCATTCTTTTAGGTTATTTCCTCTGGGTTTCTCTTGTTTTAGTTATTAACAAAATCCAATGCAACCTAGGCACAAAGAGTTGTTGTTCATTCTTAAAAAGGAGGCGGCTATGAAGGAATTAAATGGAAAGAATGTGAGAAGTTTAGAAGATCAAAAGTGATAAGGTGGAAAAAGGAGGGTGCTCGATTCTGCACCACGTTCTTCAAAGCCCGCTTTAAGGCCCTCAGCTCCTACTCCTCTGCACCGCCAGCCCCGGTGCATTCCATCACTACAACGTTCTTGGTATGGCCACCTACCATCATCATCTTAACGCACACCGTCTTTTCCTAAACCATCCCCATCGCCCGGGTCAAGTCTCAAGTGAGACTTGGTCTATCCTCACAACACACCATCGCCTCCACGAGCTTCCTTTTTTCATCGTAGTAACTCAAAGTCACCTTGTCGAATTCTCCTAGAAATGACCAGGACCTCGTGCTACCGCTATAGCAACCGTCAGCATCTTGTCTCGCTATCTCATCCACTTGCCTCCTCAGCTCCTTCAGGTGACGGACCACCTCTGCCAGCAATGATGCCTTATCTGTCTATCATCACCAGCATCAACATGCAATCACTTCAACACTACTACCAAAAAAAATAAAAAGATAAATAAAAACAAAAACAAAAACAAGAATTCTAATTTGAAAAAACCTTGACAGTGTCGGGGAGGAGAGAATAGAGGGTGGAAAGGTGGGTGTTGGTACGCTGTCGGCGTCTCCTCTCTGCTTCTTTGTGACTAAATGCTTCTTTCGATTTCGACTCACAACAATTTTTGCTATGTCATCAATTAAGTATTGTGTTTTTTTCACATAAGCATTTGAAAATTATAAGAATTAAATTGTGGAGACATAACTTGTCAGGTGGGCACTTCCATCACGGAAGGATCAATTTGGTTACGGGAAAATAAACTTTAAGGATGATTTGGGTCTTTTTTTAAGTTAAAGAACGAACTAAGTTTAAGTTTAGAAATGAAAATTGAGGGACTAAATTGGGTATTAAACCTTTTTCATATTTACTAATAATTTATACAACACAGAATAATCCTCTATTTCCTTAATTAAAGTCTTTTTTATTTCACAAATAAAATTATATAACATTTTTTAGTGTTGGTTGGGAAAGCTGTTTTAGTATGATCTTAAAGTAAATTATTTATAAATAGTTACCTAATAGACGTGTAATCAGCAACATGATGACTTGTCTAATATTAAAGAGTAAATGAATACTCCAATCCATTACAAAATTAAAGAAAATACCAACGGGGGTTATATCAAATGGTAAACAGCTTGTTTCAGCTTAAGTAAGATTTCGAGTTCGAGACGTTGTGTACGCAACAGCTTTCATTGGGAGACTCACTCACCATTTTCAGATGTGCGACACAGATCGATCCAGATTAGTCGGGGTAAAGTCCCGGATATCGGACGGGAAACCAAAAAAAAAAAAAATTAAAGAAAAGTACAAGATTAGAGAATTTAATCCTTAATCAACCCAAACATACGAGAAAATGCCTTTATGTAGTTCATCTCTTCTTTTTATTTAAACTCTTAATGTCCTCCAAGTAATACTTCACAGTTCACAAGGAGAATGGTTTCATCTTCTGGACCGGTCTTGACCAGGGCCGGTCCCAAACAGGCCTGGTTGGGTAGGACCACTTGCAATCTCCACATTAAACCGCTAGCCCACTACTCCCAAATAAGAAGAGACTTCTTTTGCCGCGACTACGAAATTCAGCAACAATTTCTTTGTTAAATTAAACCAAAATGAATAAAAATAATAATAATTTCTTTGCCGGAGGAAATATTATTTGTTCAACATAATTTCAGGTAGAAATTTCATCTCCTTTGCTTTGGAGCATAATATTTTCTAGTCTATATTGCCAACAAAATGAATCGGTCAATGTACATTGAAAATAATAACAATACCTTTTTTTTTATCATAGTTTAAAACTTTGAGTCTTAAGGGTACAGTAGTCATTTTCCATCCAAATTCAAAAATTTCAAGTTTTTTTCCTTAGAACTTCTTTAATTAACAACTTCAAAAAAAAAAAAAACAAAAGAATTAAGAGGTTTTATTTTGGGTACTAAAGTAAGATTATTTTTCACCCAAAAAAATAATTATTTGTTTTCTCCTACAATATTGATTTACTATTCATCTCTTTTGCTTAAAACTATACAAAATTTCAGAAAAATTAACAAAAAAAAAATCATAATTATACTTGAAAAGGGTAAAAATGGTGCATTTAATAGTCTACCATAGGTACAATTATGCCTCA